TCTGGGCTGAAAGGCTTCCTGTTTGTTTCCTGGAAAGTACCTTTCCATCCTGAGACCTGGTTCAAATAGTTTCTGTCTGGCCAACATTTCCCTAATTTCTTCATTACACATTTAGGCAGTTCCATAGACTCACTACCACTTGCTCCTAACTCTTTTAACCATACACCACTGAGATGACTAACTCAGAGACACGAAGCAAGAACCATTCTGAAGCCCTAAGAGCTTCAGTATGTGTGGCACACAGTAGATGTTTCAACAAACGTTAATGATTGAATAAACTAATGGCAGATAAATGAAAACCTTGATGTTGGAAGGTAGGGATTCAGACGAGGCTTGAATGCAAGTAAATGTGGACAAGAGTGGGCCACACTTTCAGATCCAATGAAGGGTTCAGGGTGGTGACAGGTATCCCCTTAGAGTAGCAGGAGATCACAGCTCACTGTGGACATTCAGTTATGTCTCTCTGCTCTGCCAAGTGCTGTATCTCACCTAGGTTTGAGGTATACAATGGAATGTTCTCCTTTCTCCATGCGCTGAATGGCCGTCTCCAGCCCACAGGGCAGATCTAGGCTTTCCCCTTCGCCGACTTCAAAGCAGAGCTCCCGCTGGTCAAAGAGCTGGTCTTTATAGTAGCCTTCCAGTGCCACTGGCAGCAAAGAGAGGCAGTGCTCCAGGTGTGAGAAGGCAGAGCATTGAGGAAGTTGCCACCAGCCCCCCCACATCTCCCAATTACTGCTTATACCCAAGATAACCATTGTATCTCAGACCTGCAGAGATGCTAAGACAGTGTGGTCTAACTCCTTACTTTATGGATAAGACAAAAGACTTATAGAAAGGAAATGACTTGGTCCAAACCACCCAAAGTCTTTTGTCTCTGAGCTAGAAATCATACACAACTCTAGATTTTTCTTCTTACACCAGAATACACTCCCCCACCCCCCCCACCCCTTCTTTTTGTTTTTTGAGATAGGGTTTCTTTGTGTAGCTTTGGCTATCCTAGAACTAGCTCTGTAGACCAGGTTGATCTCGAACTCACAGATACACACCTGCCTCTGCCTCCTGAGTAATGGGCTTAAGGCATATGCCACCACTGCCCGGCCAGACTACATTTTTTTACCTTCCACTATAGCACCTTCATTGGGCCTGGCATAGCCCGCACCACGAGTCCGTATTCTGCGAATGATCCCGCCATCTTCATCTTCTGTAAGGTCTTCTCCTTTGAACTCAAACAGCTCCACCTGTAGGGTGAGATATAAGGTGACCAACGCCTTTCTGCACCAACTCAACAGTGAAAAACTCTCTGTCACTCAGAAGAGTTAAGACTAATGTAGACCACATCTAGCCAGAGGGGCACAGTCCCAGGAGGAACTGGACAGTGGCACTTCTGACAAGCTCTTGGGGGCTGCTCTGGCCTACACTTTGGCAGAGGCCAGCAAGACACATGGGCTTCACTTGGCCTCAGAAAGACAAGATATCATCCTGCTTCATTTAACAAGAACCCGAGAAACCTAATCTGGCAGGCATCAGAAGTGACCTGGTATCTCAGCCCCTGACCTATAGGAAGCTGTCTGTCCCTCCTGTGGCCCAGGTTGCCAATATTCCACACTACCCTTTATAACCCTGATGCTTCCTGACCCCCAACTCCTTTCAGTTAAGAAATCCTCAGTCACTCCTATTCTAGAAGAGCTTTGGAGCCCCCGACCCCCTTCCCACCCAAAGCTTCTATTACTGGCCACTATGACGGCAGCAGAACCAGCTACCTTTCCACCTCTCCTCCTACTAAAGCTAGGCCCTCAGGCTTGGCTACATTGTCTCTAAGAGGCAGGAAGGGCTGGAGGGCAGCCAGGCAATGGGGTGAGATAAGGTCTGGCTCTTTGCCTGGTGCTCTGTGGCCAGCACTCACCTCAAATACAAGTGTGGCGTTGGGGGGGATCTTTGGAGGGCTGCCTGCTGAACCGTAGGCATATTCTGGCTTGCAGGTGATGTGGCACACTTCCCCCACTTTCATGGTTGCTACACCAATATCCCAAGCCTTGATGACCTCCCCTGTGGGTAGAGGCAAACAAGACCTGCTGAGCAGGGGTCTAACTCTAGGCTCAGCATCCCCAAAGAAAGCTGCTGCATACACCCAAGGGGACCCACACATCCCTAGAAATGGGACCAGAGACAAGCAGCAGCAGTGGCGTCATTCTCAGCACATTAGAAGATGGCTCAGCCCTGCAACAGAGTGCAAGAAGCATGACTGTCCACCTCAGAGGGAAGAAGGAGCTGAATTGATGAGCTGGGGTAGATATCAGCCAGTCCCAGAACAGTAGAAGAAAACACAAGACGCATAATGGACGGATTCCTTTTCTGTTGTTTTGGACAGGGTTTCTCTGTGTAGTCTTGGAACTCACTCTGTAGACCAGGCTGTCCTCAAACTCAGAGATCCACCTGCTATTGCCTCCTGGGTGCTGGGACTAAATAAAGGCATGTGCTACCACTGCTGGCAACAGATGGGATTCTTCACCATTCCTCCTTGATTTTAGTTCTGGTGGTTTTTGTTGTTGTTGTTGTTCTGATGACTAGTTTATGCTATTTTGCAAGGCTATCTTGAACTGCCTAGGCTCAAGTGACTTGCTTGCCTCAACTTCTCTGGAAGCTAGGAACATAGGTAAGCACTACTGTGCCCAGCTCAAGCTTGGCTGAGAACAGAATTTTTGTTTATGACAGCTGCTATCCACTTCAGAGCCTATCCTGCCAGCCCACTAACCATGCCTACCTTTTCCCAGGTCAAAGGAGAATTTGTCCTTGCGATCCAGACTGGAGTCAAACTTTGTGCCATCTAACAGCCAGCCAGTGTAGTGGACAAAGACTCGGTCCCCAATCATGGGTGTCTCTGTGCCTGTACCCTCTCTCTTGATGACCTGGGAGGAAGTGGGGAGAAAGTGAGTATCCAAGGATGTGGGTAGAGGGCCCCAACTGCCTGTAAACTCATAAAAGGCATGTACTGGACTCCGCCGGACCCACTGCCCCGTCTCTTTATCAGCACATCCAAGAGCTCAATCTTCAAATGATTCTGATGTTAGTGGTTTGGCTTAGACTCAAGGAACCTTCCCAACTTCCTCTAGGTTTGTCCAGACCTGTTTTGGAAAACTTCAGATAAATGACCTGGGTTTAAGTTTTGCCTATGGTTTTAGACAAGTTGCTAGACTACCCTGAAATTGTCTGTCAAGCACTGTGAACAATCCCTATCCCCTGGAGGTGCTTGAAGAACAAACTGATAAAAGTGTGGATAGAAAACTACTGAGTCATCAGATCAGGGTCTGGTTTGAATAGAATGGAATAGGAGAAATGAAGGGAACAGATTGGTTCAAAACTGGTAAAAGGAAGGGCCCAGATTACAGGTAAGCACAAAGGCTCTGCATCAGGCCCTGGGAAATTAGAGTTAGGAAACAAAATTACCAGACCGTCAAGCTCAGGGGCCCCTTATTTCAGGACCAGAGTACCTCCCATGAACGTATAGGCATCTGCTTCTGTTTAACATGTTTATATATGGTGAACCTCGTGGGCGTGCCACTAGGTGGACGTAGAACTCTAAAGGAAGGCTTCCCTGATAAGAATGTACAGGGGCCTCAAAGGAGTGGCGGATGAAAGAGGAACTGACCCTTCTAGGAATCAGAACCTTGCAGAAAAAGAAATAAGGGCCACATGTTCACACGGGAGCAGCTAGAGCTGGTGTAAAAGCCAGGAGCATTTCTAGACCAACAAGGCTCCCTGAGGTCTCTGCTTAGCACAGGCCACACACACTAGGAGCTGAGCAATGGGACGCCTGGAGGAGAAACAATGGATACAGGGAGCGCATGCAATGCGGGTTAGGATTTCACCGTCCTGGACTGCTGGCAGAACCTGCTCTAAACCGGCGCCCATTGTCCCGACCCGGGTCAGGGCGCCCTCCCCCTCGCTCCCCGGGCTATTTGCCGTCGGGCGATTAGTGAGCCGCTGGCCTCAGGGCAAACCGCCTCCCCCACGGCCAGCACACCAAACCCCTAACTCAAGAAGGCTCAGGAGGGGCGGGAGAGGAACTACAGGTCCCGGCATGCACCGCTCCTGCTCTCCCCGGGCCGAGAAAGGGGGCACAGCATGGCCGAGCCCGTGACCTCGCTGGGTCTCGGCGATTGCAGAAGGGGGCGCGGGGAGGCACAAAGGGCTCTGGGCCAGGAAACGGCTCCAGGGAGCCGTTTCAGGTCCTAGCTAATGTTTAACTTTCAAGTGGGCGAGCCCTGACGCACCTTCGCCCAGGTGGCCCGCGAACGCTGCGGACGAGGGGGTCCCCGGGAGGCAAGGCCCGAGCCCCGAGGCGCGCCCCAGCCTCGTGCACCCCGCCCGGGCCCCCGGCTGCGGCTCTCGCGCTCCGCCCCGCCCCTCTCAGCCGCACAGTGCAGCCGGATCAAGTTGGCGTTGCAGTGGGGGCTCCTTCCCGACCGGGGGCCGCACCCTCCGGAGCGTGCAGCCACCGGGCCATCTTCAGCGCCGCAGCCCGCACCGGGAAGGCAAATTCCCCGATCCTCCGGCCGCGGCACCCCCTCGAGGCCCACGAGCCTGCAGCGGGGGGCTCCGCGGCCCCCTCACCTTGAGCACGCCCTCGTCCTGCTTGGGGCTGATGTCCACTCCTTCGAGAGGCAGGGGCGCCGACTGCGCCCCGTTTTCGGCCGCCTTCATCTCCTCGGCGGTCATGGCCGCTAGGCGCACCGTTGGCTGCGGGAGTGGGGCGAGCGCGAGCCGGGCGCGCTGGCCGCCGACCGGGGCGAGCGGTGGTGCGGATGGCGTGCGGCAGGAGGCGGCGCTGCTGCCCACGGCGGTCCTCGCTCCAGGCTCGCGCACCGGGCTCTCCGCGCGCTCGCCGCCGGCGGCCGAGTCGGGGGAGACGCCGAGGGGCGGGAGCGGCGCGGCCCGGCCCGTGATTGGCCCCACTCGCCCCGGGGGCGGGGCCAGGAGGAGCGGCACGAGCGGGTTGCGAAGGGGCGGGAGCGGAGAACTTTCTAGAGAAGCGGTTAAACGGGTTGGGGCTCTTGGGCCGAGGGCACCCGAGGGTGGTGGTGGTTGTTTTTTTTTTTTTTGGTGGTAAGATTTGTTTTTCTGGTGGATGTTTCCTGGGGGCGGCCTCCTCTCCCGCTCCGGGACCTCTCGGATTTCAGTGATCAAACCCTTCCCCACGTCCTCCTCCCCACCCCCACCCCCCGGAGTCGAGCCGATTTTTCCAGATCCTTCTCCATCCTCAGGACTCCCAAGTCTGGGCCTGCCTGCCGGCCTGCCGGCCCGCCCCGTTCACCCAGCCCCGCAGCGTCGTATCTGGAGCCGGAGCCAGGCAGCCAGATGTGAAGAGGCAAGGGCCGTCCCCCTGCGATGGGACCCCAGGCACCCGTGGCGTGGGCACCTAAGCGATGTGGGGACTAGAGGCCGAGGGAGCGAAGGCCCGGGGGCACAAATTGCGGGACACAGCTTTGTCCGCCCCGCAGCCCGGCAGGCCCGCCGGATGAGTTGCTTTCCAAAATTCCGTGAGCAGGAGACCTTGTAAGTGGGGGTAGGTGTGTGTGTGAAAGCACTTCCTCCCACCATACTAACCAGCCTTTTTTGTTAGTGGTGGAGCACGAAATGGTTTCAGCTCACGAGGAAAAAAAAAATAAGTCCCCTTTCCCTTTTTACCAAAGGTGGACAGGAAGGAATTTTTTCATCGCAACCGCCGCTCCTTAGTGATACCTGGTGGAGTTGTCGTTCCTGAAACAGCGCTGGCTTGATCGGAAGGTCTGCCTGGCGAGGTCCTGACTCTGCCCAGCACTGTAGTACCACAGTTACACATAGCGCCTGGTAAGTGCTACCGGATGGCTGTCTATTGGCTTTGTGAATTTTCATTCCAATGTAACGCCCTTTGTGTCTCTGTGTGCTCGGCATGATGTTGTTCGGTGATGCCATTTAAGTAGGCAGGAGGCGGTTATTACGGGGTCTGCGAGATAGCTCAGTGGGTGGGAGTGCCTGGACTGCGGACCTGGGTTTGATTCCTGACACCCACAACGTTGAGTGAACGGACTCCGACACACTGTCTTCTGACACCCACACGTGTGCCCTGTTGTCCCTCCCAAATTAGTGTGATAAAATAATAATAATAATAAAACTTAATTATTTTGGTTTAAGTATCACTGTTAGATAATTCGTTGTAGTCCTTCCTGATGGAACCTAACCCATTCTTTCCAGCAGTTTACAGTTTTATGAGTTTATAACCAAAATCTAAGACTTCTTGGGTGACTAGAGACACTTTTGTAGAATATGGAAGGGGAGTAGCTACTTCTCCGGTAGTGAAGGTTCTTGTATAGCACTGGCTTGCACATGGCAGTTATCTCTCTGGTAAGAGACTCTGGTAGGTCTTTGGGTATTATCTGGCACAGCAAATAGTGATAGAGGAGGTAAGTTCTGCAGTAGTGAGCTTGTGTCTTTTCCTAACACCTTTGAGTTGATGCAGCATCAACATTTGCCTTCACACTGCTTAAACAGGTTAACTTTTAATACAGTGGACGGGACATGTGGTTAGCAATAAGAAAAGAGTTGGGTTGTCCAGGTACAACTGTGTAAATTGGGGCAGGTCGCCTCGTTTGCAAGCCTCCGTTTCTTGTCTGTGAGCCCTGTAAATAGGGTGACTTGATGGTTAGGAAAGAGGAACTGTTCTTTGTGCACCTGGGCCCTGGGCCCCCCGTGTCAGGTGAGTAAGCGATGGTCATCCCTGCAATGTGATATGTGTGGGGACGGAGGTGGGCAGAGGACTGTGGTAACAGGAAGGTAACATGCAGGGACTTGAGGACAGATCTCCAGTGAGAGGGCCCCCCCTCTGTGTGACATGGCAGTGGATGAGAGGCTGACACACAGGCACTGAGGTCTTGAATCCCAGGGCAGGGCCATGTGCTTCTGGACTTTTTCCTGATTGTGTATGTCACTTTTTTTTCTTTAAAAATTTTTGAACTTATTTTTTTACCTCTTTATTTTACACGTGTGAGTGTTTTGCCTGTATGTATGTCTGTGGGCTGTGTGTGTGCAGTGCCTGTGGAGGCCAGAAGAGGGCACCAGATTTCCCAGGCTGGTGTTAGATGGTTGTGAGCTATCATGTAAGGGCTGGGAATTGAACGCAGGTCCTCTAGAAGAATAGCTAGCCTAAGCTCACTGTGTACTCTTCAGATGTTTTCTTCCCATTCCTCCTCCTCTTCACCCCTTCCTTCCCTGGCTCATTTAAATGGTATTCCCATTGGGTAAGGATGTATCCATATGTGTGTAGTTGTTTTCCTCCATCCCTTTCCCCCTTAAAATTTTTTAAGTATGTATGTATATATGTATGTAATGTGGTGTGTGTGTGTGTGTGTGTGTGTGTTTCAGTATGTATGTCCCACAGCACATGAGTGGAGGTCAGAAGACTACTTTGTGGAGTCAGTTCTCACCTTCCACCTTGTCATGGATTTGGAGATTGAACTCCGGACATCAGGTTTGCACCAAAAAGTGCTTTTAGTGGATGAGCCCCCTCTCATCAGTCCATCCACTTTTTTTTTTTTTTTTTCCCTTTTTTCTTCAAGACAGTGTTTCTCTACGAAGTCCTGGCTGCCCTGGAGTTCACTGTGTAGACCAGGCTGGCCTTGAACTCACAGAGAACTCAACTTGCCTCTGTGTCGTGAGTGCCGGGATTAAAGGTGTGACACCTGGTTCTTTCAGTTCATCCACCTTTTGAGACAGTGTCTCCCTGAACTCAGCATTCACTGATTGGCTGGCCAAGAGCTCTGGGATTCTCCTGTTTCTTCTCAAACAGGAAGTCTCTAGGCATTTAAACAACAGGTCTCTATTTTCCTTGCTCAACCCTGTTTCTCTCTAGGATTTTATCTTCTAGATATCTCACATAGAGAATGACGTTTTTTAAATGTCTTCCCTTAAAATTGTGATTTTGTGTTTTTGAAGAATGACAGCACAGACGAGAGAGAGACCATTAAAAACGAAGGAAAAGGATTCGTCAATGAAACAGAGATGGAGGCTAGAAAAGGTGGAACGAATTTCCCCAGAATGAAAACAAAAAATGCAAGGTGCTGAAGATGATGAAGAAAGCCTTGAAAGAAGAAGAATGATGGGAAAGGCAAAGAGACAGTTGTCAGGTGGGAGAGCCGGCCTGTTCCGCCTCCTGGTGATGTGACACCGAGTGCTTGTGTTCTCCAGGTGGAAGTCTTTCTTCAGTCAGCATACAGAGTAATGGGTTTCAGTATGGCCTTTCATATGTAGATGTCACTGTCCTTTGTTCTTATGCGTACTGCTCTCTCCCACCTCTCTCCCTGTTCTCTTTGCCCTCTTCCTTTTCCCAAATGGTTTCCCTTTCTGCTCTCATCTTCTATATACACACATGTATACATTTAGATTCCACACACGAGAGAAAATGTAGTATTTGTTCAAGTCTGGCTTATTTTGCTTAGCATAATCTTCAGCTCTAGCCATCTTCCTGTATAGCTGAATACCATTTCACTGTGCTTACGTATCACATTTTTAAGTGCTCCTGTTGCTGGACCCCTTGGCTACTCTACCGTTTAGGGGTTCTGAAGAGTGCAGCAGTGAGCTCGCACTCCTTCGTTAGATTTAGCATTCCCTTCGTAAGGTTTAGCATCCCCTTTGTTGGATTTAGCATCCCCTTTGTTGGATTTAGCATCCCCTTCATTGTTTTGCTGCTACTTTAAATGTCTTCAAAGATTTTCTGTTTACTGCTGGTACAGAAAATGCATTTTTGTGTTGGAGAGGTGTTTCAGCTGTTAAAGACTAGGCTCAGAACCAAAATGTCAAAATGCATTTTTATTTTATGCAAAATTTTCATAACAAAACTTGCTGTGTAACCATTATTACTATTTTTATGTTTTGGAAGTGAGATCTCACCATGTATCCCAGAGTGGCCTCAGACTTAAAATCCTTATGTCTCTGCCTTCCAAATGCTTGGCTTAAGTTCTGTACTACCATGTCTGGCCATTTTTTTTTTTTTTTTACCATTCCCAAGTAGACAGTTCAGTGGCATTAAATACAAGGTTTTACAACCGTACTTTTTTTTTTTTTTTTTTTTTTTTGGGTTTTCGAGACAGGGTTTCTCTGTGTAGCTTTGTGCCTCTCCTGGGACTCACTTGGTAGCCCAGGCTGGCCTCAAACTCACGGAGATCCGCCTGGCTCTGCCTCCCGAGTGCTGGGATTAAAGGCGTGCGCCACCACCGCCCAGCAGCCGTACTGTTTTTTTAAAACAGAGTCTTGTATAGCCCAGGCTCGCCTTGAAATTTTGGTGTGGTCAAGGGTGACCTTGAACTTCTGGTTCCTCTGCTTCTACCTCCCAACTTCTGGGATTACAGGTGTGCACCACCATACCTGGCTTCTTATTGTTTTGCCATAGGGTCTTGTTGGTCTCAGGCTCATGGCTCTTTCCCCCTGAATGATGGTATTATAAGCACCCTTTACCACAATTCTTGTTTTAAGCAACATGCTTGTGGTAATTTGTTGTATCTGTTGTACGTATAGCATTCAGGGTTTAGCAAAGGACATGGACTGAGTTATTGAGACTCTCAGTTCGTGTTGTTTTAGTCTACCATATTGTTTGCAGTGTCCTGGGGACAACAGGAGATAGCCACCCTAGGGTGTACCTGAGCATCTGTGCACATCAGTGGGTGAGGCTTAGATGGGTAAACTGCTGTTTAAGAGTTGAAGGTGAGAATTATGAGGCGGAGTCTGGTAGATGCTGGGAGCTGAGAAACTGGCCTCTGAGGCATGTAAGTTGTATCACATGGCTGGATGGAGAGGAAAGAACACTGAGGAAGACAACTCTCTTCAGCTCCTTCTCCTCAGGCAAACATGCTGTGTGTGCTATTTGTTATGGGAGAATGGTCCCACCTAGTTCCATGAGCCAAGCTGATTCTGTCAATGAGGAGTGGGAGTCTGGGAAGGCAAGGCCACCTTCTCCTTGGACTCTGTGGCTCATTTGATTGCTTAGCATGTCCCATCCCTTCGACCACCTGGTGCTGGCTCATTGATATTGTAGGAAGATGGTGTGAGTAGGCTTGTTCTTAGTCTTATTAATATTCTACCTTGTTATTCTGTATCCTAAAAAGGCAGAGACCTAGTTGGAAGTGAGGTTGGGGGCAGGACAGTAGCACAAGGTTCCAGAATACATTGTTGTGTGGAACCTGGGACAGTATAGAGTTGTCCTCTGTACCACTCCTGCCCTGGTAGCACAGTACTCAATAGCGGGATTGTGGGCTGGGTGCCTACCCATGTCCCTTTGCTTCAGGATCTCTGACTGAGGCTTCAGGTCTGGGACTCCAGGATGCCTCCAGACCGGTGGGTAGTGATTTTTCTGTTTTCTTTCCTTCCTCAAAATCAGTGTCTTCCAGGAAGACCTCCCTGATTGCTCCACCCCACCATGAGCTCTTTTCTCTGCTGCATATGTCTGGTGTTCTGTGATGGTCATTACAGTTCAGTTTATCATGGGGCCGGTTCTCACATGTTCTTCACTTGTCACAGAGTTATGGGTCGGGTGCATGTCCTGCTTTCAAATAAGACTACCAACTTCCTGGGCTCAACCAAGATGACTGGAGCTTTGGAAGCCCAGAAACAGCTGCTATCAGGAACAGGTTTTCTGTCTACTAGGGTGGATTTCTGCTGGTAAGGTGGCCATACGCAGGCACTTGTCTCTTCAGCATACTCTCCTTTCATTCATTTATTCTCTAAGCAAACATCCCCTTTACTGAGTTCCGTGTGTGAGAGGTGAAGCATTCTAAGATGGATGCTTGGCAGTCTCCCTGTATTTGCCTTGGGCGCCTCAATTGCACATAGCTTTCACTTCCTCTGTGCACTTGGTTTCTGTTAGGTCTCCAACCTGGGACAGAGGGCTCACTGAGATGCCTATTAACATATCAAAGCAGACACTGGCGGCCAAGTTCTCCCAGCATCCCTCAGTCCCTACCTGTTAGGGAATTCTCCTGGCTGCCATACCCTGCTCACTACCCTGAACTCTCCAGCTCAACTAATTACTGGGCTGGGCTTCTCTCCTGTTAGCTCCTCTGGCCCCTATATAACTGGCCAATTTTAGCAGCATGTGTCTCTTGGCCAGTTTCTTAACCCAGGCCGCCCTTTTTGGTCAGAGGCTCTTCTTTTTGCTCTCCCTCCTCCTCACATGGCCCAGCTCAGTCTGGCCACGTTCACTCGGGACTCTTCCAGATGTCTCCATCTCTACCTGCTTTCTCCCATGTATATATAATACAAACCTCAACCCCTTAGGAGCAGTCATGTCCTCCTTTTATTTCTTTTTTTCATTCAGTTCACAGATAATGCATCCAATCCCAAGCTGCTTCCTAATCCATTGTCTGTGTTAGGTGTTAGGCAAATTTCCAGACAATTAGATCTGCTTCTTCTCATCAAAAGGAAGCACGTGAAATCACATGACTTGTTGAAACTGGGGAGGTCCTAATTGGTATTTGGATTTCCACCAAAAGCTAAAAAACCCAGAACACCAAAGACAGGCTATCCTACCAGAAGGGGCTGAGTTTAAATAGAAAGGAGCTAGTGGTTTCAGGGTCTTAACCATGAGCACAAATCACAGTGTACAGTGACTCCTTCTTAAAGCAGCAGAGACATAGTAGTGATGATGACAGGGTGTAGGGAGGAACACAGGATAATCCACAGTCTGCTGTTTAGTGGGGCAGGGTCTTCTTTCAGTTACAGAGCCAACTTGTGACACCCTAAACACAGAAATAGTGAGCTGACCAAACTGGGCCGCCAACTGCTCATCCCAACTTGTCTTCAGCAGTTGCCCCAGTCACTGTGGCACAAGCCAAGGGAGAACCCAGATATTCCTAAATGGCTTTCAGATTGCTAAACAGATGCCAGTCTTTAGTCCAAAGGTGGGTAATGTGCAAGCTGGCGGGTAGAGGAGGATGGGTAAGGGTTGAATCTAGAAGGGCAGAGTGATGTTCTCTAGTCCACCTAATTTTTGAGTTAGTTGCTTAGTGTGATAGGTTTCTCCTTTCACATTTGTCTTAAAAATATATTCAATGATTTGTTTCAAACAAAAGGAAAATCAGTCTTTCTCTCCCATTGCCCTTTTTCTTCTTTGAAAGAAGTTTCCAAATCTTTCTGGAAAGCTTAAATCCTAGCATTGGAGTAACCAAATTTGGGTTTGTAGCTCTTAGGAGGTTGACACTAATCTGTGACAGTCACAACTTAGTTGTTAACAGTCACATGACAACGGTATGTTTTTGTTGTATGAAAGCCTTTATAAGAACAGAAAGAAGTCTCCTGGAGTCTGTGGTCAGTTAGCTTAGAACCTGCGGGAAGTATGCAGACAGTAGCTGGTGATCCTGGCAACGCCATCTGATAAGAACAGTGAATGTGTAGGTCTACCCTGAAAGGAAAGACTGCGAGGGGCATGTGGCTCCACCCAAGGAGGAGCACACCTAGTTCATCTTGGAGGAAGAAAATGTCTTCTTCATTCTCCGTGTTGCAGTAATCAGACCCAGCGTCTGTCTGGGATGATAACGTGTATAATGGTGAACTCATCCCTCGTCAGTTTCCCACAGAGTGCTCCACATGTTTCTATGTCACGGGCAGGGTTAGCATTGGTGAACTGGGGAAACTTGGCAGAGCTTCAAGGTACGGTACATGCAGTGTGGTCCACTGATGATGGGAACATTTCTGTGTCGCTCAGCACTCCAGGTCTTAAACACTTGTCTACCACTGGTAACCTAGCTCGCCTTATGGCTGTGTTACAGTCTGAAGCCTGTGGATAACACCCAGGTTGTGAAGGCTTATCCAGGGCTTTTCTAAGTCAGGCCCCAGCAGCCCTCTGGGTCTAGATCTATCTTGCTAAGCTCTTGCACAATTTTTAGTCCCTCTTTTTCCAGCTCCTGCTTCTGGGTCATCTCCTCAAAGGCATGGAACTGTTTCTGTTCTAACTGATGCAGCTTTTGCTCTTTGCCCAGCTCTTGCTGGGTGGCCGTGTTCTGGGAAAATTCTAACTCTTCCTTCTTCTCTTTATATTTTTCACATTCTTTGGTGTGTGTATCCAAACTGTTTCTGGTTCTTCTGCCTGGAGAAAAGCAAGTTCTTTAATTTCTTTACTGTGTCTTCTCAGGAATGACAACTGCTTTGTCATCCCACTACCTGGGGACTTGTCTATGAAGGACTTGATGTACTTACTATAGAGGATAAAGGCATGTTCAATGTTGCTTTCTTCAGAGTAAACGGATGCCATGTAGATGACTTGAACTCCAGAGTGGAAGTACTGACAGGGTGCAATATTGAATTGCACTGTATTCTCAAGCTTCGCCCTGTCTTTGGGTGGAAGGGTGATATTTCCATGGTCAGGCATCAGGACCAAAAGCTTCTGATTCAGATTTCTGCCTTCAGAATACAGCCACATCAGAAGAGTCTGTTGTTTCAAGTTCCATTGTGTTTGAAGCCAAGTCTCTCCTGACACAGATTCTGTCAACAGCAGAAACCATACAGTATAGATCCATACAGTAATATGGTGTGTCAGGGTTGCTGAAGCTGAATAGCATGTGTGTCCAATATGAGGTCTGGTCACTCACTGGTCACGTGGGATGATCCAAATTTGTTTATGGACAACTACATGGAAACTCCAAAGTTCTAACAGATGCTGATAGGTTTGGAGGGAGAATGATGTCGTAAAGCAGGCAGTAGCCAATAGGAAGGTCAGATTCCTAGCCAGAAAATGGGTTGGGTGGACAGAATGGCAGGAGAGCTACAGCTCCCCTGAATGGCTGGGTCTAGGCAGGTGAAAGCCTGCAAGGCAGTTACGACAATCCCTCTTTCCTCTCTTTTTAGGTTAGGGAAATCATCTCTGTGTTTCTTATACGTATTCATTAACAAAGTTACTTATAATTTGCAGGTGATATTTTCATGTGGTTCCCCACACGGGGCCAGATCATGGTCACAAGGAGCAAGACAGCCCTGGGAACAAATTGCCAAGTGTGAGTGAGGTGCTAAGGCAGGAGGCCCTTCAGAAGACTGATGTCTTGAGGAGAGATGGGAAAGGAGGTACTTGAACTGAGTCTTGGAAGATGATAGGTGTTTCTTAGTGCACAAAGCTAGGAAGGGCATCCAAGGCAGGCCGGAGCACAGCACTACAACATGTTTGGCTATTTAAAGAAATAGGAAATTTATCCTGCGCCAAAGTTCTTCCCTTTATCCCACTTCAAAGTTCTCTCTTTTGAAGTGGACTGTCTATTTTCAGTATTAAAGTCTTTTTTATTCTTTGGAACCTGAAACTTGAAAAGGATTCTATAGGCTTCCTTCCACTTTCTGATTGGATTTGAGGCCCACTCCACAGAAAGGAAATCACTACAATATACTACAAACGTCATCAAAAGTCCAAGGCAGAGAAGGTCATAGACATGAATTGGGGGAGTTACTTCTGATGTTTGAATATGATGTGCCCATCAAATGCTTTTCATGTGTTTGTGTTCATGTCCATAGATCAGTGCTGCTGTTTGCTTTTGTCAGAGAAGCATCTCTTTGCTCTGGGCAGCAGTTAGTGAAGAGGCTCACACATACCTGGTCAAGAATCAGAGACTCTTTGGGATGCTCAGCCCTAAATGGGGCATTTGTATCACCCCCTCCAAGGCTCAGGGAACTTTGCGGAAGAGGGGCCGGAAAGAATGTAAGAGCCAGAGGAAGGGGTGGAGTGATGGAGAGTACTGTCTTCCAGGCCTGACGCGGCTGGTGTCCTCTCTGACTTCCAGCAGCTCTGATTACCTGTACAAAACCTGCATAAGATTTAGCCCACCAACATTCTGTCATGGAGCAGGGAGCAGCTGATGAGGCCCTGCCAGTCCCTGAGGACATATAGGCAGTTAAGGGTTGCTAGGGGAGAGGGTCTCAAAAGGCACTGCCTTTCCCTGAGGATCTGTGGGCAGTTAGTGGGACCCTTGCTCTAGTGGTATAGCTATTGGTGAGTTGTCCTGCTCCTGTAATAACCCTAATTGAGCTCATTGATTGACCAAGGGAAAGAAGGAGGAGCACTGGTTGAAAAGAGGAAGATGATCAGTAGGAGAGAGAGGGTTCATGGGGGTGAATGTAGTCAAAAGTATGTTGTATACATGAATGAAAATGTCCAAGTGAAACCTACTGTTTTGTTATTAGCATATTAATATATGTTAATAAAAATGAAACTAAAACAACAACCAAGCAAACAACCTGGCCTACTAAGAAGATGCCCAGATGGGGTTTAATCGGAGGAGGATTCAACATCAGAGGAGACTGTTAAAATAATAGGACAAGTTGACTAGGGATGTAGCTCAGTGAGGGAATGTTTATCTAGCGTGGACAAAGCCCTGAAATCAGTCCTCAGAACTGCTAGATACTGCTTTAAATGGCAGATGTAACATGTTTCATCTCGACTGGAATGTAGCCCAAAGTCCTTGGAAGGACACAAGAACTATCTACTACACCATTTGGATGTTACTTTTTTGATGGATCTCCTTCCTTTTTGTCTGCATTCATATATGTGTCTATGTATGCATTCACACCAAGATGTATGTGTAGTATACATATATTCTGGCTCTATGACTGTGTATATATACACATATATTCACATGTGGCCAAGGTATATAAAATTATATACATGTCTCTTGTAGTTTTTTCTTATTTTTTAAATGTATGTATTTATTTTTACTTTTTACTCTTTTGTTTGTTTTTCCAGACAGGGTTTCTCTGTGTAGCTCTGACTGTCCTGGAACTCACTCTATAGACCAGGCTGGCCTTGAATTCAGAGATCTGCCTACCTCTGCCTCCTGAGTGCTGGGATTAAAGACGTATGCCACCACCACCTGGCTTATTTTTACTTTGAAAAAAAATGTGTGTTTATGACTGTTTTACCTGCATGGGTGTCTCTGCACCACATGTGTGCAGTGCCTGCAGAAGCCAGAAGAGGGCATTGCAGAGCTTGGAATTGAAATTGTAAATGCTTGTGAGCCACATGTGGGTGCTGAGAATCGACTCCAGTCCTCTATAAGAGCAGATGGTGCTCTTACCCACCGAGCCATCATCTCTGTGCCCTGTATGTGTTCTTTATTAACACACAATTATGAGATGAATTTGAAATAAGTAACTTAATTAACCAACTCAGTATTTTCCAAAATGAAAAGCAAGAACTACATCACAAGTCTGAAATCCGAAGGAACAATGACAGCACGACCAACTCTGGTAGGTATCACTCCAGATTCAGAACACTGTGCCAGGACCTGAGTTTGGAGGTCAAGGGTTCTCTTTAAATGAAACATCTGCTGAGTCCCAAACTGTTAGACTTGCAGCAGCAGCAGACCCAGGAACAGGGCTCTCAGTTTTCTCAGAATGCTGGGGCTTGGCTTCATCTTGCCTCTTAGACTTCAGGTATTTGTGTATGTGGTAGTTTAAATGAGATGTCCACTATAGTCTTGGCATCTGATGCTTGGTCCCCAGCTGGTGGCACTGCTTGGGTAGGTTGAGGAGGTGTGGCCTTATTGGAGGAAGTCTGTGACTGGGAGGGGCCTTCTGAGCTTTGTGCTTGTGGTTCAAGATATGAGCCTGCAGCTCCCTGCTCTGGCCACCATGTCTTAGCTCAACCATCATGGACTCTGACCCTTTGGAACTGTAAGCCCAAATAGACTTCCTTCCATGAGTTGCCTTGATTGTGGTGTTTGTCACTTGAGTAGAAAGTAACTAGGACAATGTGATCATGAGTTGGCAATTTTTTTTTTGTCTTTGGTGATGGTGTGCTCATATTTTTGTGATTCTGTTTTATTTGAAGCTTGATGAGGTGTTCTTCAGAGAGTTAAGATAGCAGAATTGTAAATGTGAATTCCTGTGGCCTTACAAATGGAGCACTGTGATTTTATCAAAAGTTTGTAATATTTTAGGTGTTTTGCATGTATGTATATAAATGCACCAATTTTTGTGCAATGACTGAGGAAGCCAGAAAAGGCATTGAGTTCCCTTGGGACTAGTTACAGGGGGTTGTGAACTGCCATGTGGGTGCTGGGAATTGAATTTGGTCCTTTGAAAGAGCATCAAGTGTGCTGTTAACCATTGAGCCATATCTCAGGCTCATAGTATCAAAAATTTCTTGAGCTTCTGTGATTGTCTTTCCTCAAAGATATTTCAGTACCAACTGGTCTGTTACTGGATTTGGGGGTCCTTTAATGGTCACCAGACAATACCAGGAAAATCAGGGTCCCCTTTTAGGGTTCTTTGTTGCATTAATAAAAGAGTAGATTCAAATTAATTAATAAATAATTATTATATAAATAATTAAATGATTCAAATTAATAAAAGAGTGGATTCAAATGTGAACTTAGGACACTTTTACTAGAGTTTAAAAGAAAGCCCTCCCAGGGCAGGCAAGCTGTAAGCCCCAGCGGCTGCTCAGAGGTTGAAGGTGGAGGAGAGAAAGAAAAGTCCATTCCATGTAAGCCAGCATGAAGGTCAGATGTGTGGCAGAGGAGCAGTCACATGGTGGAAAAAGAGTAAGAAAGCCCACAGTGTTAGGGAAAAGCCCACAGTGTTAGGAAACCATGCTTAGAAAAGAGATAGAAGAAAAGGAAAATTTATGCTTTCCGAATAATTCAGAAAAGTGGGCAGGCTTACTGCTCCATATGGCTGCAGCTTGTCCGTAAGCTTCTGATGACTCTTTTTTCCCCCATATTAATCTGTGTCTGTGAGAGTGTATGTGTATGAGTTCACATGCGATAGCACACATATGGAGGTCAGAGAATAATCCACAGGAGACAGTTCTCTTCTACCGTGTGGGATTCGGGGGATTGAACCCAGGTTGATAGAGGCTTGGAAGTGAATGCTTTTACTTGCTGAGCCAACTTGTTTGTTTTGGGATGGTCCCATGTACTTCAGAATGGACTTTACTTTGCTTGTAGCTAAAGATGTCTTCTACATTTCTGATTCTCCTGCCTCCACCCTTCAAGTGCTGGGATGAGAGGATGAACTAGCACACCCAGGTTATGTGGGGCTGGAGACTGAACCCAGGGCTCTGTGCATACCATGCTAGCATTCTACCAGCTGACGTGCCCCTCCAGTTCTCATTTATTCTTTAAATACATGATGTAGCATCACTATTCTTTCATGTTATTAAATATTATTTTAAAAAATGTTTTTTTTTGGCTGCACAATGTCTTATATATCTGAACTATTATTAAGCATTTATGTATTGTTAAAAGTATTTTGAACTTTTTCTATATACAAATTCCTCAATAAGCACTGATGCATGTAAATGCTATTTTCATTTCTGGTTAAACATAAATAAATGTTTTTAAAAGTTATTTTCCCTGCTTGAGATGGCCGAGTTGGGGGAGAGACAGGGAGGGAGAGCAATGAAAGAGATATCTTGACAGAGTGTACCACTAAGGGGATGGGGAGAAATCTGCAGCTAGGGGAAACCCCAGGAACTCACAAGATTGTCCCCAGCTAAGACTCACAGCAATAGTGGACAGGGTGCTTGAACTATCTGAGTTCCCCTGCACTCAGATTGGTGTCTATCCTGTCATCATAGAACCTTCATCCAGTGACTGATAGAAGCAGATGCAGAGACCCACAGCCAAGCACTTGGCCAAGATCCTGGAGTTCAGTTGATGAGAGGGAGGAAGGATTATAAGAACAAGGGGGTCAGAATCATGATGGGAAAAACCACAGAGATAGCTGACCCAAGCTAGTGGGAGCTCATGGACTCTGGACTGACAGCTGGGGAGCCTGCGTGGGACCGAACTAGGCCCTCTGAATGTGGGTGAAAGTTGCGTGGCTTCTGTATTTGTGGGTCCCCTGGCAATGGGACCAGGACTTAACCCCAGGTACACGAACTGGCTTTTTAGAGCCCATTCCCTTTGGTGGGAGGCCTTACTCAGCCTTGATGCATTGGGGAGGGGCTAGGTCCAGCCCCAACATGTTATGCCAGTCTGTGTTGACTACCCAAGGGAGGCCTTACCCTCTATGAGGAGGAGGTGGGGTGTGATGGAGGAGGTGGCAGGGAGTGGGAGAAGGGGAGGGAGGGGGAACTGGTTGGTATGTAATAGGAAAGAAATTTTTTTTAATAAAAAATTAAAGTTATTTTCCCAAGTACTTGATTTTTTTTTACTATTTTAAAATTTTATGTATGTATATGTACTGTACATGTGTACTTCCTGAAGAACCCTGAAGAGGGCTCAGAGCCCTGGAAATGAAGTTATTGATGGTTGGTAGATTGAATGAGGATGGCCCCCATAGGCTCAAATGTTTGAATGCTTGGTCATCAGTTAGTAGAGCTGTTTGGGAAGGATTGGAGGTGTGTGTATGGCTTTGTTGGAAGAGATGTGTCACTAGGGTGGGCTTTGGGGTCTCAAAAGTTCATGCCTGGCCCAGTCTCTCTCATTATCTGCAACCTGTGGATCAGATGTAAGTTCTGAGCTCCAGCACCATGCTCCCTGCCATGATGATCATGAACTAACTCCCTGAAACTGTAAGTAGATCCCCAATTAAATGCTTTCTTCTATAAGTTGTGTTGGCCATGGCATCTCATAGCAACAGAACAATAAGACAGTTATCAACTGCCATGTAGATTCTGGGCTCCTGTGCAAGAGCAGTAAGTGTGCTTAACCTATAAAGCTATATCTAGCCCATCAAATAGTTCTTGATAAATGCTATGTGGCAATTAAAAGAGGAACAAACTTGTGTAGAGTCATGATGAATTAAAATTCTTGTGTTCAACTAACAACTACCAGATTAGGTCCAACATTTGTTGCTTGCCTGTGGTTAGCAATCCTTAGCGTTCCTGGAGACATTTCCTCTGTGTCATGTGCCAATCTGGTGTGACTAAGGACAAAAACAAGGCGAGGAGGAGGCAGGCCTAGAGTCTGGGTGAGTCTGAGCATTATGAGGAGTGAGTGGATAAAGTCCTGAGTGAATGTTCATTATTGACATGAGTACAGCCATGTTAAAGACTCCAGTGTCTCAGACACATGGAAATGGCAAAGCCTTCCCTGGGTGAGCCTCAGGAATGGCAAGGCCTTTCTCTGGCTCAAGTGTGAGTGTTTACAAGTTTCTGGGGTGGAGTGTAGATGCTGCCCTTTATTAGAGCAAGCACAGCCCACCTGATCCCAGCTTTTCTGTATGTGTCTGTCATTTCTTTATTCCTGTGTTACTCCAGCCAGGTTTCCAGAACCAAGCCATGCTGGATGCAGCAGAATGTGAGAAATGGGCTGGGCCATGCGAGGGCTGGAAAGAGAAGGAGCTGAGGGATATTCCTAAGTAGGATGCTCTGTTCTGGGGACTGGAGCTGGGTGGTGAGGGAGAAAAGGAATCAAAGATGGCTGGATACTTGAGTATCACCTGGAGATATGAATGGTGTTTCAGTGGAGGGAAGGCAAATTCAATGTAGGATGTTCTAAATTGAAGTACTGTCAACTAGCAAAGATATTAAGAAGGCAGAAGTAGGCTTTGTGACTCAAGCCCTGCAGGTACAGATTTCTGACCCTAAAACTTGTGGTCATTCATTCCAAACCCTGTGTTTTTCTAACAAAGTTTAAAACTCAACAGTCTGCCTTTTGGATAACACAGGACCCTAAACTAAATTGCAGTGCAATGTTACCTTGCTCATCCTAAACAGCAGAAGCAACAACAACAACAATAAGAAGTGTGTGTGGGATATATGCATGAGTGTGGGTTCCTGTGTGCCATGCATATATGTGGAAATCAGAGGACAGCTTTCAGGGCATGGTTTCTCTCCCTTTTACTGTCGGATCCAGGGACTGAACTCAGATTGTCAGGTTTGTGCCATTGGGGCACCAGCCCACCCGGCTCATCTTAGTGGTGTGATGTCTAATGTTTCAGGTTCATCACAGTTTTCCACCCTTCATACTAGTTGTGATTGAAGAGTGAGTGCTTAGATTTAACAGGTTCTCAGAGATCTCACAGGAAACAAGTTACATACCAGGATTAGCATGGCTCACATCCTATAATGCATAAAGGTGTGGGTGGGATTCAGAAATCCACAGGAGTGCAATATGGTGGGGCCTGTCACTCAGAGACAGGAGGAGTTTGTGTGGGTCTGGAGGAATCTTGGCACCTGCAGGAGACTTGTGTGTAGGGAGTAGTAGTACAGAAGTGATTCAGAGGCCTCGAGGCTGTTTGTCCTGTCAAGGGTCAGCCCACAGTGGGGACCAGGAGAACACTGTGTGTACACTGACCTGTCTTCTCTTTCTCTAGTGTCCTATTAAGCTCCTTATTGGAAAGAGCCAGAGGACCAGGGAATCCACACTAGCTGGCTTCCCAAGGCATTTGGCAGAGTAAAGAGGGTGTAGGAAGGATCCAGGGAGATTCAGTGCATTACATATTTCACCCATTCTTTATGCATAGTGAATGGATTTCTTGCCTTCTATTTCTGCTTTCCTAATTTGTTCTTATTCCTTGCTGATGGAAGTGCATTCATGGCTCTCTCAGTGAAGGCTCCTTCCTTTCCTTTCCCCTTTCCTTTCCCCTTTCCTTACCCTTTTCCTTTCCCCTTTCCTTACCCTTTTCCTTTCCCCTTCCCTTTCCCCTTCCCTTTCCTTTCCTTTTTCCTTTCCTTTCCTTCCCTTCCCTTCCCTTCCCTCCCCTTCCCTTCCCTTCCCTTTCCCTTTCCCTTCCCTTTCTCTTCCCTTTCCCTTCCCCTCCACCTCCCCCTCCCCCTTCCCCTTCCCTTTCCTTTCCTTTCCTTTCTTTCATTTCCTTTTAGGGCAGGCTCTCCCTATGTAGTTCTGCATGGCCTGGAACTTGCTATGTAGATCAGACTGGCCTCAAACTCACAGAGATCCTCCTGTCTGCCAGTGAAGGACTTTAAATGATAAATTCCTTAGTAGACCTGAAATATCTACATTTCCCCTTCTTTTTAAGTCTTAAAATTACACTTACTTGCCAGGTGGTGGTGGTACACACCTTTAATGCCAGTACTCTAGAGGCAGGACAGCCAGAGCTGTTACACAAGAGGAACCCTGTCTTGAAAAAAAAATGAAAATAAAATTAAAAAATAAATAAAATTACACTTATTTATAGTGTGTGTGTGTGTGTGTGTGTGTGTGTGTGTGTGTGTGTGTGTGTGCATGTGTACAATTTTGCAGGAATTGGGTTTCTCCTCCCACTGTGTCTCGGGGATTGAACTCAGGTTATCTGTTTTGGAGGCAAGTTCTTTTACCCCAGAGTCATCTCAGTGTTCCTCTCCTGACAGGGTTTCTCTGTGTAACAGTCCTGGTTGTTCTGGAACTCGATTTGTAGACCAGGCTGGCCCTGAACTCATTGAGATCCTCCTGCCTCTGCCTCCCAAGTGCCGGGATCAAGGGCATGTGCCACCACCGCCTGGTTCTCTCCTGACTCTTAAATAATAGTTATAGTTGTGTAGAAATTCCAAGTTGATGGTCTTCTTCATTGAAATTCAAAAACTCCTGCCATCAATGAAGATGGCCTTCAGCTTTCTTTTTATTTTTTAATTAGCATTCCTTTGATTTTGTTCCCATTTTTCAACTCCACCTCGTGTGTGTGTGTGTGTGTGTGTGTGTGTGTGTGTGTGTGTGTGTGTGTGTGTTCCAGAAGTCAGTTGCTTCTCCACATTCTCTTCGAGGCAGGGTCTCTCACTGAGTCATGCATGAGCTAACTGATTCCACTATGCTGGCTAGTTGACTTTTGAGCTCCAGGGGCCTGCCTGTCTCTACTTCCCCAGTGCTAGGATTATTACAGGCTTGAAGTGCCCGGCATTTTTAGAAGAATTACATTTACTTATTTACTGTGTGTGTGTGTGTGGGGGGGGGGGGCTGTGCAACCGCAACACAGATGTGGAGGGCAGAGGACGCCTTGAGGGAATCGGTTCTCTCCTTCCACAATGTGGGTCCTGGAAACAAACTCAGATTGTCAGGCTTGGTGGCAAGTGCTTTTACTTGCTGAGCTATTATGCTAGATACTCACCCCACCCCAGCATTTTTTTTTTTAAAAACATGGGTATATTCCTTACTTTTTCCTCTGTCAGATTCAGGGTGTCAGATCTTGTACTGAAGTTCTTCATCCATGTGGAGTTGAATTTTGTACAGGGTGAGAGAGACAAGTCTAGTCCCACTTTTTTCTTTTCTGCTTTCCCAAGATAATATTTCTCTATGGAACAGTCTTGGCTGACCTTGAACTCACAGAGATCCTCCTGCGTCAGCCTCCCGAGTGCTGGGATTAAAGGCGTGGGTCACTACCACCCAGCTAGTTGCATTTTTTCAACAGGTAGTTAGTTATTCAGTCTCAGCAGCACTGTTGGCTGAAGGTACTGTCTTTTCTCCAA